AACAAGGTAAACCTGAATACATTGTCTCATTAGAGGCGTGGAATGATGAATATTGTATGGGGACACCGCGGGACTGGGCTGCATAATGACCGACTCTCTCTCAGAGTTTATAATATTGTTATTCGCACTAAAATTATTTCCGGACTCGAATTACAGTAAAGTAGTATTCTGAAAAGTTTAGTCCCACTTTTGTTTTTTAAATATTTTGTTTTCAGAATTAGTGCGGTAGTAAAAGTGTAATATAGTCGTTACTCGTATGTATTTGAAACAAAGTGAAATATTTAAGTTCAGATAGAGTATCAGGCTGTAAGACCGTTTTTTTAACGTCCCACAGCTGGGCACGGGCCTCCCTTCAATACGAGGGCGATCACGCCCTAGTCCACCACACAGGCCAAGTGCGGGTTGGCGGACTTCATGTCTTTCGGAAACTTGCTAGGTCCTTTCAAACATGCAAGTTTTCCTCACGATGGTTTTCCTTCACCGTAAGATAAATTAAAAAGTACAAAAATGTAGGAAAGCTTCCTAATAATAGGTCATATGTGCTGACTTGTTTTTTATTTCAAACTTCAAACTACAAAGGTTCCATTGACGTGAGATTAATTGGCTATCTATTTAATAAAAATCCTAAATTCATTCACTAACTTCCTGATAGACAACTCAAAACCTGTTTTATGTTTCTGCATTAAACAGTTCATTTAATGTAGAAGTATAATAATTTAAATTCATCGAAATTCTCACAATTAGTATCCTTATGCTGTCTGGAATTTCATAAAAATTTTCATTTATCTATGTCTCAAAACTTGTTTGATGTCGCAGCAAAAGATGTAAGCAAAAATCACATGAAGTAAAACTATCTTTCGGATTTTTTCGCGGATTTAGATTTTTCATCAAATCAAAATAAATTCCGCCCCGACAAAATCCGAAAAGATAGTTTTATTTAAAATGAAATATATTCGCGTAAATCTGACAAAGTATCATATGAAGTAAATTAAATAGATATTCATACTGAAAAAAAAATCACACTGAAATTTCTTCAAATCAAGAACACCGACACAAAAGTCCCACATATTATTAGTCTCGCAAAGCCTGCCATATTACTGATACCATAAAATATATTATAGACTGAAATCCATATAAATTTTATATATTTAGACAAATTTTGTACTGTCACAGAAATTTAACTAAGCTAAAAAAAAATTTTCTCCAGCGATGTGGGCAGAAAATATAAATAATTTACAATATAAATAATTTTACTTACATTATGTATGTGTATAGTCTGTAGATAAAATTCAAGAACTCCAATGTAAATCAATTGCTATACGTTACCCCAATTTACTTTATCTTGTAGAAAATACAGATTGGTACTGTCTTGATGGATGCGATCACGATGGAATAGCAAGCATTTCGGGTCAGGACTCAGAGTATCAATCTTTTGACTATTTTTCTTTTGACTCTTACGAGTATTTTGTGTTCGTCTCAAGTAAGATTGATCTACAGTATTTTAAAATTAAATTAATGTTAAACAATACACTTCTCGAAGAAGCGATTATATAGGTTTATAAATATAATAAAATGCGCCCCTTGTATGTTTAGTTTAAATAAGGTGGTAAATAAAACTATGATATTTTTTGATATTTTATTGAAGGACAAGTACAATTAAACTTATAGAAAAGAATTTTAGAAGATATTTACAAGGAAATGTAACATTAAGATTCAAGTAATACTTCTTTAAATCGATCTCGTGCATAGATAACGAAATAATAAAACATATCTACATATTTGTATAACATATTATAAAGATAGTTTTTAACGTATTAATTTTTTTTATTGAAGTGAAACGTAACAAATTTAGTGATAAAATGCATTTATTTCATGTCCCTAAATGATTCAACTATAAAAATTATTGCCTTAATCAGATAAAACTACTTATGAATGTGCACAACATTTAACAGTGATTAAAATTATCTATAACTAATTAAATCTAAACCAATAAAGTTCTATTTTCATTTAAAAGATATAACTAAATAAACTAGAGAACTACGTTTAATTTATAACTTAATAGTAAATATTGGAAATTTGATATGCTTGATATTCTTGTGTTCAGACAAAATACTGAAGTTAAACTGATGTTATTCGTCAATTTATGTGCATAAATTATTTTTATATCACCGACTTCAAGAAAGGAGGTTTAATATTATTGGCCGGTAATTTTTTAGTTGAACTTATTACTTGACTCCGTACGCAAAGATTTGTCAAGCTGATTTACCGACTGTACATACTCGTATGTATTTCATCTTTATTTAAAACCATATGCAAATTAAAGGTGTTACCGATTAAAATAAAATAAATAAATAAATATGTTGGGACATTAACACATAGCACCATCTAGTTCCATGGTAAGCTACGAGGCTTGTGTTATGTATACCAGATAGTTTATACACTATACATATATAAATTTAAATACATATTATAAATATAAACACCCATGACTGGAGTACAAACATTAAATAAATACAGTACCTACATTAAATGAGTACAAACAACAAATAAGTGCCCTCAGCGGGATTTGAAGACGCGACCACTGGCACAGCAAGTAGGATCACTACAAACTGAGCCAAACTATTGTCGAAATAAATAAATTTCAAACTGTTTGTATTAAATGGTAGCTCATGAGTAAATAAATAAATAAAACAAATTCTATCTACTATTGCATTGTACGACAGTAATTGTTATCAAACAACGAATAGGATTGCAGCTTCGCAGTTATTATTCCATGCGAATGATTTTTACAGTAGATAATAATTATTAAGTGCATAGTTGTTCATATGTTTACGGATAAATTTTTAATAAGCAATCTGAGATAAATTTTATTTTCTTTTTCTAATTACTCTATCCATACCAATAGGATTATACATGTGAAAGTGTGTTTGTTTGTTTGTTTGTTTGTTTGTTTGTTTGTTTGTTTGTCCTTCTTTCACGTCTGAACGGTGTGACGGGTTGATCGATATGTACGATTATATAAAACAAAGTCGGCTTTGTCTAACACTTATAACTCGAGAACTGCTGGACCGGTTTTTATGATCTTGGTTTTGTTGGATTTGTCTTCACTCCGAATAGCAGAATAACTTTTAAAACGTTAGAAAATTATACGAAAAAAAATTGGGAAAAAAAGACTATCCCGTACTAAGCGTGAAAACGTACCTAGGGACGAACCTGAGCGAAGCGTGGGTGAGTCGCTAGGGTAAATTATTTTAATAGTATTTTATTTAGGGTATTATTTTTTGTTTAAATATATGTGAGCCACGTTTGAGACAAATTCTTATTATTAAAAAAATGGATAATAAAAACAGTTTATCAATAATTGGGGGACATTTGCGTTTTTACAAAGAAATATATACAAACTGCATTGGATACCTCACGTCTTTGAAGTCGTTCAAAAAAACAATGCGCTTTAGATAAATTAGTTGCGCCCACTATTTTCTATAAACAATACTCATTTAAAGTTCAACATTCTAAGATAATTGCAATTTAACTTCAGCATGTTGCTTACGAAATTCTGTAGCATTTTCACTCGAGGTTACTTCTACGACAATATCTTACTACTACTTATCAGGTGATCACAAATTTGTATCGTAATAGATTGCGTGCGCTTAAGGTACCTTAACAAAATTCGGAATTATAAAACATATAAATATTTCGTTGATCGTGAAAATTTGATTAGGAAGCAAAATTCCTACTAAAAAATGTATCCTTTAAAGCCTTTAACTGCCTTCTATACACGACTTAATATTCGGTGGTAAAGTGGTTGGATTGTGGACTTTTCAGCCGTCTCGCGTCTTACCTATGGACATTTTATGCTAAATAGGTATCACTTAGGACTTATTCAACTAAACTCTTCAGTCTTGGACGTTACACTTAAATAGAAATACTTCTAAAACCCGCGTCGAATTGTTCAATTTCAAAATGTTTAATAATATCAGCGTGTTATTTAAATATGCTACAGCGTGGAATCCCCACACACGATAAAGAATATCAGAACAAGATCAAGAAATAGTATAGGACATATAGACACACGGATTTTGTTTTATAGTATTCTAATTGCTCATCTAAAGAAGACGATTCAACGACGTTATCACTACGACTTTAAAATTACCACTCTCGAATTTGGGACAATATGAAATATTTCGTCTAAGATTTGAAAAACCCACATGTTACTAACAAACGGGAAAAACATTAAGACACATCGCACGATCAAAAATGACAACATCTAAAAAGAGAAAGCGAATAATGTACAACACTCATTCATGTAGCTATAGTTAGGGATCTCACTTACATTTACTTACGGTTATTAAAATCAATCGATTCTAAAAAAGGAAACGATCACAAATATTAAAATTCACATCTGTATATCTAACCAACGTTGTATAAGGATAGCACACAATACTTAGTTATATATAAAAAATATATTGCTCAGGGTTTCAGTGGGTCGGTTTATCAAATCAGTACACGTTAGATGCCTGTAGATTATTTCTATTATAAGTTTGTATAAAACACTAAGAAAAACCATACTATTAGCTCCAAATAAAATAAAAACCTCGCAATTTTATTTATTAACATTTTGTTCCCCTTCTTTCACACTGACCGTACAATTTTAAACATAATTTACTAATTAAAACTTTAATGAACGTAATTACGAAAATATGAACAGCTAACATGTTAAATCTCTTTCGAATTCAATTACTAAAATTATTACTTACGACAATTATAATCACTCGTCTTTATGTAAATAAATAATTAATCATTATTTTTTAAATATCTTAATCTAGGATATGCTAAAATGTATACATAAACATTTTTAAAAAATCTTATTTACTAATGATATGTTCAATTTGATATGTATGTATTACATTGATATGTTGTAATCATCACAATGTTTGTCCATCTGTAGTGAGATCGATCGATGGACTAGTTTGTTGACTCGTCGTTTATGGTTTAGTCCTCGGGCCAACCGAGGTCTTCCCCGATTAAATCGTAAAACCGTTGGTTGTGCTGCACAAAGAACTTACGTAGTTTGGTGACGACGGCGGGATCTACCCGAGGATGCCTACGGCCTTTTGTTTCGCGCAAGCACTTGTCCGTGGTGTCGTTACGCAAGCAGTAGAATCCTTTAGTTTCGTTGAAGTAGAAGTTTTTTCTTCCTGTTGTTTAACAAGACTTCAGCATAAAATACAAAAAGTAAAACGAAATTCAAAGTTTGTGGTGGATTAAAAAACTTTTGTTGCATTGATGTCAAGGATTTTCGTGAGGCAATTTCATCTTTGAATTACTTACATTCTTTTTTACTTTTCATAATTTGAACAAAGTTATTAGTTTCGTACATTACAAAACGCTGATAAGAAAACGAATGTTTAGAATAGTATACAATTTCTTACCAATTTTATGTTCCAATCCTAGAAATTTCTCGATACGTCGCAGCTGTGGTACCGGATCTTCTATAAGCTGATCGCCGTTCACTACCAAAATCTGCTCTCGCGGGAACACCTCCAGCCATCGATGAAGATACGCGTGATATAACGATATCGCTATTGGCCTAAAGGTCACAAGAAAAAAAGCCTTTTATGATAAATTCCTCATCTTTCTAAATTCTTGCAGGGGTTATAACAGAAGCGAGTTTATATGTTTTATTGTATGATTATTCAATTCAATTTTTTTTCCTTGTAAAACATATTTTTGAATTTGTAAGGCTAATATTTATAATTAAAAATAAAGACTTCTAATTCATTCAGTTGAGTAGGTCGTAAGCTCACTTCATGAGCACAATGTTCTGTACGCTTCAGCAAAACTCGTGTATAAACAGTACTATAACAAAATCTTAATAATTATAAAGCTGTGAGTAAATGTAAATATATTTTTCTCTAATAGCTTATAATATGTAAATTTTGTTGTAATAAAATGTGCCTAAATTAAGTAAGAAAACTAATTTTAAAAGAAGAATTTAATCTAATTTAATATGCTATTATTAACATTTTTCTACCAAGCTCATTTAAATATTTTATTATTTTACATCAATTATACTTTAAACTAATTCATGTATTAATGTCAATAAACAAAAAACTGTGCGTTTTTGCTTGCTTCATATATTTAAGTCTCATCAGTAAAATAAGAGCCGTTATATTATATTATAATGATAATTATTACCGATAGGCGACGTTAATGGACCCATCGGGTGCTAACGCGAGATGTTCAAATGGTTTCGCAGCATCCGGTAGTGGGTGTCCCACAAGAGATACTGCGGGAGCTGAGGGAGTCGCGCGGCTGCGTAGTTGGGTATAGTCGGAAATCGCTCGGGTGACTGGTTCCCGCACAATGAGCAGTAGACGTACCGATGAATTCATGGCACGCACTCTTTCAGGTACCTGAAAATTATTTTACCTTCATACGATGTTTCTGACATGATTATATAATACTAGTGATGATACTCGTCCTTAGGTGATACTTCAGGATGAATCTTACAAAATTTACCTTGTACCTTTTTACTTGTAGATAATGAAGCTTTAAGATTGTTACAGAATTATAAAAACCGGTGGAGTAGTCTCAGAGGTTATTGATTGCAAACATAGAAAATAACCTCTTATATTAGAATAAATTATACATGCGAAAGTGTTTGTTCGATCAATATGATAGTTTTGTATAGAAAGCTTATTCAAGGCTGTGTATTTAGCAAAAAAAAATGTTTTAAAAGTAATAATACAAGGCCACTTCTAACAATTAATGTGTATTCAGCCCTTTTTAACGTCCCACTGCAGGACACGGGTCTCCCTTCAGTACGAGGGGAATCAGGCCATAGTCCACCACGCTGGCCAAGTGCGGGTTGGTGGACTTCACATGACTTTTGAAAACTTGCTAGGTTCTCTCAGACATGCAGCTTTCTTCACAATGTTTTCCTTCACCGTTAAGACAAGTGCTAATCATGTTGAAAATTATTTGCATATGTAAATATCAGAGGTGCGAAATCCGAGATTTGAACTCGCTTCACTTGGTTTCCCAAGCGAGCGTGTTACCACTGGGCTACCACTGCCTTCAACCGATACCAACTAGTATATACTAGCCATAGTAGAGTGACAATGTTTATGTAGTATCCCAATAAATCAAACGGTTCCCATGAGATATTAGTGAATTGCTCAAAATAAGTATAGAACGCGCGGGTCGTAATAAGGGCCTGAGCGATGGCGGTTTCTTAATTATTTTTTAATAAACAGTATACCAATCAAAATATAAGGTTTTATTTAAGTAACATTATGTAGTTTTACATTAAGCCAATTAAAACGTGCCTATTCGGCGTATTTCTTATTAAAACATTTTCAAGCTCTTTATTAACATTTACAAATCTATTTTCAAAGTAAACATAAATTATTCATAATAATGAACTACAATTTTGCAGAGCGAGATGTATATTTTATTATACTAATTAGCTTTGGAATACGAGTTCGTAGGCCTGTTTTATATTGTACGAAATGTTTTACAAATATAGTATTTATCGAGTAAACAAGCAACGACGCAATATTTGCTCCTTACCTCGGGGGTAACGAAGTAGCTAGGACTTTTTTCTATAGTTATTTGCCCTTTAAATGAAAGAGGCATTTTGCCTCGGTACCATTCTAAGCCAAGAGCATAGTTCTCGTCACGGTCGAAAAAATGAACCTCCCCCGACGCCTTTTGAACCATCGGATGGAGGTAGAGCATTTCCAAAAGAGCGCGCGTCCCACATTTACGCACGCCTATAATTAAAGCCTGTGGAGGAAATTTTAAAGAATTTACTTATATATTTAAAATAATTAAAATACGTATATTCTATTGTGTAACTAGAATTTTCCAAATAATTGTTTATGTGTAAATGTATGTAATATAGTAAGGTATCGTAGATTAATTACGATGATGAATAAAAAGTAGCACTTACTTACTGCATCTCATATTGGCGGCAATTGCCATACGTAGTGACATAAATATATGTGTCAAGATGTTTATACCTGAGGGAGTCGTCTGGCCGGCCTCGGCGCGCGTGGAGCTTTTAACCTTTTCCTTAAGGCCATAGGGTGGCTTATTGTACGACTGCTTTCTTGACTTTGTAATATCTTTCGACCCTCGCTGGCAGCGGACGCCATGCTTGCCGCCTGTAGAAACACACCACTTGATCTCGCTGCCTTCAAAATGTTATAAGGTTCATTTCTTTTTGTAATAAAATTGTAGGTATTCGATCTTATATTCCAACTTTTTATCAATAAAAAATATATGAAGAAAAATTAGGTAGATACATTATCTATACAGATGAATAAAATTGAAGTGTCTGTTTGTAATGTCAAAATAACAGCGATTTACTATATGCTTATGAAACTATACACGGTTACTTATAAGAAAAACATATTTTTTTAATTTTTTGTCTGTCTGTTTGTTCCGGATAAGCTCTGAAACGACTGGACTGATTTTGGCGTGACTTTCACTGGAAGATAGGTAATATTATAGGGAGTAACATAAGCTACTTTTATTTTAGAAAAAGAATTAGGGTTCTGCTCAAAAAATGAAAACGTACCTAGAGACGAACTCGAGCGAATCGAGGGTGAATCAATAATAATAATAATTAATCAATGTAAAGAAATGACTTTTTCCGTTAGTTAAATTATAATGTTATTTATTAAATAACATATATATATGTTATTTATTAAATTTCTAAAACGAATGAACTATGATGGTAATAAGCTCAGAATACAGTTCTGTATTCTGAGGTAATCTTACTTATATTATAAACGAGCGACTCACCCTCGCTTCACTTGGGTTTGTCCCAAGTGCTACCTCATACAAGCTTTCATCCCCATTCTCACCCTTAAGGATGATTTCCGGGATAAAAACAACTTAAAAAAAACTTTAATTTTTTTTTAATTTTCTTCTATACAAAACTGCCTGACAATAACAAACACAAAAAAAGAATTATCCCATTTGGTGCAGTCGATCTGAATTTACGCTCGTACATACATTTCGGTGATTCGTTTTTATTTATAAATATGTGAAAGTTTAGATGTTCGGATGTTTGTTACTCAATCACGCCAGAACGGCTGAGCAGATCTGGATGAAATTTGGCACAGAGATAGATTATAGTCTGGATGATCCCGGAAAAATGTATGGGTTCCCGTGTGTGATTTGTTTTTGTTTTTCTAGAGGCGAGGTGAGCCGCTAGTAAGATATATATTCAATTTTTTCTTCTGGTGCAAAGTGTAACATATTTTATTTGATTTAACTTTGTTATATTGGTGATAGATTAAATTGATAGATTAAAGAAAGTAGAAATAGAAAATTATTATTTAATCCAAAATGACTATAATATGATATGATAAAATCAAATTACTGTATAATTTGATGGCATTCCCATAATAGTTTTCTAATCTAGGCTATGCGATAATACTAAAACTATTTTTTTTTGTGTGAGCAATGTTAGATAGATAATATTATTTTTCATATAAATATTGTACAATTATGAACTACTACAAAAATACGCTGTTTCTAGGCTTTAATCCTTTGCTCTAGAGTGTGATGAATTAATCAGTCTGTAAAGACATCTAGAAAAGAACAAAACATATACATTCTTTAAACTTCATAAAGCTACAAGTATAAGTATATAAGATAAGTAATGTAATTGTTGACCAAAACCACTTTACTTCCTATAAACTAGTCGCTATTTTTATTAAAATTTTTGCTATTTTAATATAAGCTAAAATTCCTTTTAATTCCAAAATAAGTCTTAGGTGTCAACATGATTAACATAAGGAATATTTTATATTATGTATCATAATCCATACTTCCATACTAATATATAAATACGAAAGTAACTCTGTCTGTCTGTTACCTTTTCACACTTAATCCACTGAACCGATTTAGATGAAATTTGGCATGGAGATAGTTTCAGACCCTGGGAAGGACATAGGATAGTTTTTACCTCGGAAATCATCCCTTAAGGGGGTGAAAAGGGGGTCGGGGGGTCGAACTTTGTATGGGGAATCAATCATTTCTCATCTCATCTCAACTCATCATACCTATATACATAGATAGACTATATAGTCTATGTCTTCCATACCAACCGTCATAAGGTATTTAGGGACGAATCCGAATTATAAATAACAATTGAACAAATATTAATATAGGAATATCTTCTCCCATTCTATTTCAAATATAATCTGTTCATAATAGTAGCCCAGATTGTAGCATAGCTCCCGCACTGGGAACACTGCATCTATAATGTGAACAATATTCACTGGATCCGTTTACACAAGTGCAGCCCTTTGTAGTCTCCCAATCGTAATTCATCATTCAACATACAATTTACGCGAATGAACCTATCAATATATGTCGGATGGGATTATCGCCCCGTTTAATAATTCCAAACGTCCGCAGGAATTAAATATTACACTGAAATTGTATTCGAATAATAACAATTTCATTTTGTAACATTATAGCTGTTCTCTTTTAGTATTCATTTAAAAATAAGCCAAACTAGTTATGCAGAAGAGTTATGTAAATGGATGTCTTTGTGTTAGTTCCGTCGGCATTTCCAAATCTGATTAGAATAGCAAAGTTTTAAAAACTGAAACACATCACACTGGATTTTACTGGAAAAAATTACAAAGTCGCTGCAAATGATGTCAAAGGTACGCAAATGCTGTACTTATGACCTACTTACTGTATATGAATTCGCGGTACGAGACATTTGGAGGCTGGATATTTGACTTAGAAAAGAACCGATCATTTTAAAGCGGATGATCGTAGTAGAATGTTTATTGCTTTCCTGCGATGTTATCACCTACCACTAGTACATATCGTAAAATACTTGAACTATTGAAGTTGCAAAACAAGAGCGTCATAAACTAAGGGTAAGGTAGCCCATATTTATACACTGCATGCCAATTTATATCTTGAACGGTTGCCTTAAAGAGTATATTGCTATGTGTAATGTATATGGATCGGCAAATATCTATTTGATGATATCTAGAAGGTAGGTGGGAAACTTAATTACACCTTCAAGCTATATCTCGATAGCCCAGCTGTGGGCTTGGTCAGGCACGCCCATCACCTATTTTCTGTGATTCATGGAAGGTACTTTACAGATAAAGCTACGTACTGAAAAGTTAGTTACTACTCTATTTCCGTTTGCTATGCTTAAAATGCCTTGTTTCTCTATTACCTAGCTCATTTGGCTGTAAATTATGACTTCTGGGTTCGATTCCTAGTTCGTTTAACAAAATTTTATCGGATTTTACCGGAAGAAAATCTTAAAAACAGCCTGGTTAAGTTAATTTTGAGTCACAGTATGGGGTAACACGACTTATCCTGCAACGCTCTATTGCACTGCAGCGACGGGTTCCTTTGTGGGTTTTAGTGAGTAGGAGTTTCACAGTATCCTGCCCGTTGAAGGCCGGCATGATAGGTTTCCCCAGCAAAAACAAACTAAAAAAAATGGGGCAACACGAATTAGTCCTAGAGAGTACGTAGAAATGTCTCTGGCGTAAGGGAATAGAGGGCGCACCTGTATTTAGACGGACACTTATCGGCACTATACTATACATATGTACTAACTCAGCGCAATTAGCTACCGTGACTGAATTTGGATATGAGATAAGTATTTTCAATTTTATTATTATCTTTATGACATTGGAAGTAATGTTTGTATTCTTATGAAAATATTATTATTAAAAGATTATTATTAATAGCCTATTAAAAAAAGATAATAACATTTCTTATACTGTGAAGAAGGTAATAAAGTCACATTATAACATTTTTGGTAGTAACATATCTATAATGTTTATATTACCCTGTTATAGTATTTTCTGTTGTCATATTTAAATTTTTATGTTTTAATGCAGGAGTGTAATAAGCAATCTTTCAGTTTCGTTAAAACTCATTTAAGATAAGAAGTATCTCGATGATATAATCAGAGAACCAAGTACCTATTCTTAAACTCGAGTCGCAACTAAACCTTGAGATAACAGTAACTGATTACAAGTAACATTCATTTTAATCTATAATAAAAATAGTCTAACGTAATTATTTTTCTATTGTTGTAGGTTAATCCTATCGCCCGATCATTCATTTATAGTTTTAATTCCAAATTAAAGTCACTAAACTTCAAAATTACCGCTCAATCTCATTCGTGTCTTCTTCACAAAACGTGACACTGGCAGAATGGATTGCGTCTGTTAACGCAACTATAAGTCATTATAGAAAAACAAAGTAGTATAACTAAATCTACATCAAAGGTATCTTCTGAACATATTTTAGAAAATAATAACCAAGGCATTGTTGGATTGTAATAACTAATAAGTTACATAAACATTCCTTAGGTTTTTTTCGTTATCCCTCTCATCTACTTTATCACTCGAAAATACCTTGACATATTTTAGTAGAACATATGTCGTAATACTCCCAATCGTCTTAATTTAAAAACAATGCAGATTTAAAATATCTCGATACCTAAGTTTTATTTTAAAGTCGAATATCCCCATGATATTCTCTTCCATAGTATTTAGTGTGAATGTAGTGAGTAGATTCATAATATAGTTTTTACTTTGTAATATCTGTAAAATATATATTACAATAAGAAACTTAAAACAGGTACATCACAGGTTTTTAAAATATTTTTCTAGTGATATAACTAATTTTGATTAATAAGCAAAGAATAAGTATTAAGATAAAATAATAAATCATAAAGAGTTTGATGTTAGTTTAGTTTTTATTTTTTGTATTTTAATTAACTATCTTTGCTATTTGTTGTTGTAAACACCATCTGAAATTTGTAAGCATTTCTTAATAAGCTTAAACAAGATTATCCTCGTCGTTAATAAGTTAAAATGTTTTAATGTTAAGACTCTTAAGTAATTCATAGCTACTAGTTACTACCTAGGTTATAACTTATAACCCGTTATTTCACACCACACCTTGAAAGCTGGAATTCGTTTTTCAAATTTATATCATACCCACTTTGTCATATAATCTATAATAATCTATAAAATTATATAAACTCAAAATTAAAATCGATATTGTATGCAAATTATGTATGTAAGAATTTACGTTGTAAAAAAATATTAAACATATCCAAAATTTTACCTCTTTAAAAGGTTTTGCTGAAAAAATAAAAAGTTCAAATAATGAATGAAATGTAAATATTAAATTTAAGAAAGCTATAATCGAATTTCATATTTACAAAGCTACATTTTATCAATTAATTCAATCAATTCTGACATTCAACGTAACAGATCGAAGTAAATGTTCGCTGGATAAAGTATTTGCTGTTTATTTAATTAAAAAAAAACTATAACCGTTTCAATAGTTATTATTCAAATGGTTTAAACTTACTCAAAATAAAATTTCATTTTGACGGCGACGTCATGTAGTAGCTTTAAATTTAACTGGTATTTATATGAAATACGATCGTTTCATTTAATTAAGCTGTTAGCATTTTATTGACTTCTTTTAATTAAGGATTTTTAATTAATTATTTTAACAGTGCGTGTTACACTTTGTACATGTATATTCTATTTTTAATTAATTCGTTATATTTCTAATAATGAAATATATGTTACATGAATCCCTGTCTTTCAATTGTAGACCTTTTTGAAACTGTGTACTATGTTAATTATACGTTATATAACAAAACATAAAGTTCTAATTTTCTTAAATTGCTTATACCAATTTTACACTCATAACGAGAAAGTGATATATATAGCTATTTATATTCAAAATTTTACTAATCAAAGTTGAAACCAATTTCGTTTCAAGGATGCTGACGTCCATATTTCAATCATAAAAATCAATATTTCTTGAAATGTATGAAACTGTAAAATAATAACTCTACACATAATGTTTTGACTCTAGAAGAACATTAATATATTAACTAAGAACTCCACACTTCTAAGACTAAGCAGTCTCTATCAGTCAATCATTAATAGTCGGGTTGGTAATCACTAAATTACTCGACAAAATCGTTATTGTCGTCATATTGATTATGAGCCCGATTAAACTATCGGCTGATAGAGTTAGCTTTATTACTGATAAAGCTTAAAGCTAACTCTATACAGCTATAGATATCTTACCTGTATACTATAAAGGGCGCTATCATAGAGAACGTGAAAGGTGAGGAACAGTGAGAGAAGCGTGACGGACAGGAGGGCCGCGGCGAGCTTCGGCCGCGACACTCCCACGACTAGCACGCAGTCTGCCAGCTCGCCCTCCGCCGGCCGAAATGACGACCGCGGCAACCATCTATCAAAATGTATATATTATTATATTATTTGAATTTATTGTATTTAACAATACCTATAGGTATATTTCATTTAGATTTTCCTATTTATATAAAGATTTAGAAGATTTCTCATACTTCATTACAAGACGCACCGAGCGTGCTACATTTAATTTAAAAAACTTTATATTTTTAAATTGATCAGGTTTCAGTAAGTTCAATAGATCATCGAAAAGTATTTTTTTTAGTACAATTTATATTTTAATTATAATTAAAATTAGAAAGAAGATAATTAGCTACTTTAAAAACTCAAATACGTTAACTGACACCGCCTAAACCATTGAATCTACGAATTTTTGTTCTTCTGGTCTAAGTTTTATGTCTGTCTAAGTTTCTTTGTTGTATAATTAATGTAAGCACTAACAAAGATTTTGTACTCGTTAGTCGAGTAGACAAAAGAAAGATTACGATTTTAGCAGTCTATTTTAAATAAAAATATCTTTTCGGATTTTTTCGCGGACTTTTGGTTCCCGACGTTTCGAATGCTTTACAGCAATCATAGTCACGGGAGAGACTGAGGTGTTAGATGTCTCGAAGGTATAGTTGTTACAAACAGCCTACCCACAAATAATAAAATGAAAATTGCACCAATTACTTTACAATATTTTTTTTAACTTTAAACATTTTTATAATTTTAATTAGTTTTATAATTGAATATGGAATATTATTTATTTAATTTTCGCTGTTCTTATTATAATTATTACAATTTTAAAAATATTAAATAGTAATAAAAAAAATATAAAATATTATATTAATTATTTAAGCCGTATAATTGTTCTATGTGTAATTTAAAAAAGTTAAAATTAATTAAGGATAATAATTTTAATTTAGTTAATTATTTATTTAAAAAGACAAATTACTAAGCAACACTATTACTATATACTTTTACAAATGAAAAATGAAAGATATTAATCTGATATGCTGTCATTTTGATCTACACAGTATGAACTTACTACATCTGCCTGTCTGTTATGTTTAGATTTATTATTTAATTTTATTATATTAATAACAGGATCCCATGACAGTGGTAGTGGGTCCCAGCCGTCTTCCCTATTGAAATTTGGATATTTTTTAATTTCTATGGCTTCTCAAATCATTCTAGGGAGATATCGATTTTCTTTCGCGAGGATTTGAGATGTATATAAAAATATGTATAATATAGGCTGTACAACATGTATTCACACTCATAAACCTCGAAAAAGTTAATACTAATATCAACTTTGGGGTCTAATGAAAGCTTTTAATGAGTACATTCCATAAAACGTAAAATTGTTTATAATATATTATCTCCTAGCCCAAATCAAAATGATTTAAATAAGTAAAAAATAAAGTTAGATTCTAAAATCAGTCTACAATAAACCTATAATATTACAAGACTACAAGTAAAGGTACTATACATTAATGTATTATCAATGACAAAAAATCAAAACGTAGTAATATAGGTAATATAATATTATGATGTTCTCCTAGCCGATTCCGGCTACGGTGGACAATCTCATTTAGATTAGCCAACTGGGCAGGAGATAATATAGTGCACAAGTGTACGTGCAGACACAACGTGCACTCTCTATTCCTATCACTCTCATACTCCGGTGGGACGACTGCTCGACACGACCAGTGAGAGTTAAGGTGCAGGACCGACGGCTTTACGTGCTCTCCGAGGCACGGGGGTGAAACACCGCCAACTTTCCAACTCCGGGCTGTTACTGAGACTTACTATACAGAAAGACTCAATAACTAAACTTGGCCCGACCCAGGACTCGAACTCAGGACCTCCGAGTGTGCAGCCGTACATGCTAGCCACTACACCACCGAGGCAGTTATAATATCGATTACACTTTATTTGTATAATTTACCTGCCTATGACAATCTATATATAGTATAAAACAAAGTCGCTGTCTGCGTTAGCCGGTTTCTCGCTTACTTCTTCTAAACCACACGTAATGGATTTTGATACAGATTTCACTAATAGAAAGAGCAATAAACGAGGAAGGTTTTTGTGTAGAATTTGTAAAAATAACTCAGCCTAGATAGTGTTTTGTCAAAAAAGGCTAACGCGGGCTAAACCTTTAATGATACTTCAAAGTAATGCGCTAGAAAATTCTAGGTCTCAAACAGGCCTACAGAAAAGTCGCGGGATAGCATGTGTCTATCTCGTAAGGTACGCTCACAATAACTATTTTTATCCATATATTCGAGCGAATCGAGGGTACTTAATAATTACTACTTAATAATTGAACCTATTTATAAAATAATATGCGCAGAAAAAGATAAAAAATACTTTTTCTTATTAATAAAAAAATATTATTATTCAACTTACAGAATATCAAGCGGCAAAGACTGTGAGCAGCTCCTGTAGGTGGCTTCAGGACGATGATGTTTATTTGGCAGAGATGTGTTCATCTGCGCTCGCGACTCCATGTGTCTTCCATTTAAATTGCTTTTAGGTATTTCAAGTTTCCTACATGTTTCTTCAGGCTGTTCATGTTACTACATAAACGTTATGCAATAATATGAGGTTTACGTTTTGATTTTTATCATTTTATTGGATTCTATTTTTCGATTCTGAAACAAATTTAGGTTATGACAGGATAATTTCCATTTAGAAATATACATAATATAATACAAGACTAGTGGCCTTCGTGCCGAATTGCCTATGTGTTACTTCAGGTCAAAGTCACTAAATAAATTTCATCCAAATCCATCCGGCCATTTCTGCGTCAGAGAGTACGAAACCCACGTGACACACATACATACTCAACGTGCCGTATTTAAAATAGTAGTATTAAAATTGACATAGTTTTTAGATATTAAATAATTTCTTTTATAAGAATAGTTTTTGAAAGGATTTGAAAGAGACAGACAGGGGACAGGTTTTGAAAGACGGTTTGAAGTTTGCGGCATTTTTGGGGATTCACTAAGCATTACTTTAAAAAAGTACTTTTCTAAGCTACTAAGTACTTGTGATATAATATGTTAGGTAAATTTATTCAATAATTGCCAACCAGATGAATCAAATGGCGCAAAGTATAACTCAATAAAAGTTCTTGTTGGCAATAAATCTTCACTTGACTAAGTAATAAGCAAAAAAGTTAGTGAAAATTTTTCTATTTGGCTAAATGCCAAGTACATTCCCAACTTCCATTTTTTAAATTAAAAGCTTGTTCTTATAATCTACAGCAGTTAACTTTAGTCTTATCAACTACAATTCAAGGCGACAAAATTAATTTTAAAGTTTATCTTCTATAATGGTACTTGAAGACATAATTAAAACTAACTTTAACATAACATATAAAAAAATATTAGCAAAAAGTATATTATTAGAAAAGATAAAAAAAATATTTTAGTATCTTGTTAATAAATAAATTGTTCCATTAATAGTTATTTTTACTTCTATTTAGATTTTTTTTTTATTTTTACCAACATACCATATTATAAAGCACCACCGTGCGAACACCTGGAAGAAAAAAAAACATACTATTAATAAAATTTTATACATTGAATAGCAATCATTTAATTCGAAATGAATTGTTAAAAATAAATTAAGTATATAAAAAGAATATTAAAATGGACACCAGACAGATCTTTAAGATTAATTTTAAGGAATTGAATGAAACCCATAAAAAGAGTGATATTTTTTAAATATAAAAAAATTATAAACCTAAGAAATATAAATAAAACTTTAGTACGCAATTCAGAATAAAATCTTAATTTTAGAGATGTATCTAACCAAAATGCTTGAACGGTACGGATTGGTATTAAAGCTATAAAACGATCCCTTAATATTTTTCTCATGGAAATCCACAAGTATAAACATTCGGTCGTAAAATCGAAGCGCACGAAATATTTTAGCAATCACAGTATCTATTTCCACTGTCTACACGAAACTGTCTAGCTTACTTTATAACTATTTACAGCTGACGTTAAACAGGAGATCGTTGTTAGTTATGTTATTTTGGATTGAACAAACTCTATCAAAAGGTTTACGAACATGCAATAAAGGAAGATTGTTATTTTTTACGATTTATAGGAACCAAATGGAAAAAAGCCCTTATAGTTTCTTTGTTATGCCGTCTGTCTGTATGTTACAACTTTTATAGTCGAAGACCGCGCGACAAAATACGTGTATAAGTATATAATAAGCTTCAGGATTTTAAAGTACGGGATGAAATATTTCCGTTTTTTTTTAAATTTAATATAGCTTTCGAGACACGTTCAAAGAAAATAACTTTGGTTAAGGTAGTTAAGTTATTGAATGAAATACGGGATGTGTACAGTTTAAAAGCTTTGTTAGTTTAGCGGCCGAAAAATTAACATGTTTAAAAAAAACACAAACTTATCTATGATATTAATAAATATATATATATATATATATATATATATATATATATATATATATATATAGTAATTTATCGTTTGATACTATGGAACCCTCAGGGCTTAAGTCAAAGTCCCACTTATTTTTAAAATCGTCTTCATAGTAAATTACTACTTCATAAGAAAAACTTGGGACTAGAAACATAAAGCTTAATGCTGTCCCAGTTTACGTTTAGAATTGTTCTACGTCAAATTAAACGAAGAATTTGTAGAATAGCCAATTGATAAACTTGTTTTTACGACCACCATTTTCCTTTGTGCTTTGTAATAAAGATTTAAAGCTGCACTACATTTTAAAGGCAGTTTGTTTGAAAGCTTTTACTTCAAAAGTTTTCAACCAATGTAATGAGACAATTCTACACTTTAACATTCTTCAAATTTCATTATAAATCACAATAATATTATAAATGCTGAGAGTTTATAAGTGTTAGTGAATATGTTTGGTACTTCTTTACGTTGTAACAGTAAGTAGATTCGAGTGAAATTTGGAACGGGGGCTAATGAAGTTGTAGTGTTTGTGTAAATATAATATCTATAGTAATAGTTCTTTACACTGTCTCGTGCTCACGGTATAGCGGATAAGTCAGTCTGGCGTGAGCCATGGGCGAGAGCGGACGTGTCACTTACGTATACCGTGTGTTGACGAGCCAGTGAGGTGTGTGTGATACGGAGTATACCACAAGTGGCGACGAGTACAAAGGTCAGACTATTGATATAATAATTTATCATATCTTTCTTATAAGAAGTAAAAAAAAAAGAAGTTAGGTGAAAGGAAGGAATTATCGTTCAAGTATAGCGATACATTATTTGTAAATGTAGTAAATATGAAGATTAAACGGAACTTTATTATTAATACATGAGAGATAATTATATACAGGAATATTAGTTTCAAATTTAGGAATAACCACATTTAATATGCACTTGGTCAAACGTTAAAGAAAATATATAGCGTAGTTAGTAGGTAGTAAGTATATCTATCTATAAGTATGTAAAATATGAGGAAATTATAAAATATGAGAAGATTTTGGGTTCGATTCCTGAACTATTCTGAACTGGGTTAAATCGAATTATCCTAGGAGGCATCAGAAGTAGTTTGGTACTTTGGAAGTACACTTTGTAGAATTATTATTTATAGTGGTCGTGTAAATTACATTTAAAACAATTAAAGATGTAAATATAAAACACAGGTATTGAGTAACAATTGAGTTATGACACATTGACCGATTTATTATATTTTTAACTGTTGTTTGTTTGTCTTGGTTTGTTTGTTTGTGGTATATGGTTTCAATAGTAAAAAACGATTAGAGATGTAAATATAAAACATAGGTATTGAGTAACAATTGAGTTATGACATTGACCGATCTTTGTTATATTTTTAACTGTTGTTTGTTGTGTTGGTTTGTTTGTTTGTAGTATATTGCTATAATAGTAATAGTACACAGTACATTACTTCACTGACTCAAAAAAAAAACGGAAGAAATGGTACTCTAGTGCCTCCATTAAATTGGAATAATGGTATTTGGATACCCCCATTAAATTGGAAATAAATGGTACTCTGTACCCCCATTAAATTGGAAAGGAATGGTATTATGATACCCCCATTAGATTGGAAAGTAATGGTATTCTGATACCTCCATTAAATTAGATTAGTTGTATTATGCTTCATTAGAATGCTCATATTTGGTACAAAGGTACAATTACTAAAGTGGAATTCCAAAAGCTCCTAAATTATTTTCAGGTCCCCCAATAATTGTTCACGATGTCACACAACTTGCCGTCATTAGAGAGACTTGAATTAGAAGGTGACAGTGCTTCATTAGGGCAACGTTGGGAGAAATGGAGACGTTCTCTAAATATTTACCTAGAAGCAGCAGATATTACTTCCCCCGTAAAGAAAAGGGCGACTCTTTTGTTACTTGGTGGGTCAGCATTACAGGAGATATTTTACAACTTACCGGGAGCCAATTCAGAATCAAGTGATAGCAATGACGTGTATTTAATTGCAATAGATAAACTAAATGATTACTTCAGTCCAAAGCAAAGTAAAGTCTATGAAAGGCATATATTTCGTTTAATTAAACAAGAAGAAGGAGAGAAATTTGAAAGATTTTAAATAAGATTACGGAATCAAGCAGAAAAATGCCAATTTGATAAGCCTGAAGACCAATTAATTGATCAAATTGCAGAAAAATGCATAGCAGTTGATTTGCGGAAGAGAATTTTGACTATAGGTGACAGTATAACATTAGATAAGATAATTACTGAAGCTTTACATTAGAATTACATTAGAAGTAGTATACCGGCAAATGGAAGAATATGGACAGCAAATAAAATTCAAGAAGTAAATGCTATAGCTCCATTTAAAAAAGATGGAAATGGCGGTAATAACAAAAAGAGGTTTAGAAGTTTTACAAATAAAAATAGAGGATGTAGTAGATGTGGGAATTTTAAACACTTCTCGGATGATGTAAACTGCCCTGCCAAAGGGAAGAAATGCCATAGTTGCGGAAAATTAGGTCATTTCAGACAATATTGCAAAAGTCGAGAATCTCGGAAGAGGAAGGTAGATGAAAGTAATGTGAGAGGAGAACCAACAATAAAGCAGTCTCGGAGACAGAAAGAGGTGGACAACGTAGCTGATGAGGGAGTTGATTATGTGTTCAATGTCGACAATGAAGCGAATATAGAATGTGAAATCGGAGGCATAAAAACAAAAATGTTAATTGATTCTGGATCAAAATATAATCTAATCACGGACGAGACGTGGAACATTTTAAAAGGAAAAGGAGTTGTATGTTTTAATCAAAAGGAGAGACCGGATAAAATCCTCTTGGCGTATGGCAGCAAAACTCTACTAGAAATTATAGGCTTGATCGAAACGACCATAAAGATAAATCAAGAACAAGAACTTGTGCGTTCTTGTTCTTCTTCATATTTATGTTATTGCAGGAGGGTCAAGGAATCTACTAGGCAAAGACAGTGCTATCCGGCTTGGTGTACTGAAACTTGGACCAAGCGTAAATCATGTTGAAAACGAACCATTT